ACCAAATCAACAGCCGCCCTGTTTCCCCAATCACAAGGTCACATTCCAGGGCAACTTCTGGTCATCACATCTTAGCTGTTTTTCTCCTCTCCCGAGGAACGCATAACACCGAGCGTCTGGCTGCACATAATTCGTATAATTTGGCAGCATCATCGGTCATATGGTAGCACTGGCGGCGGTCGGTGTGCTTTCTGCTGACTGTTTGAAGTCCTGCAGCGATGAGAAGCCCGCGTGAAAACAGCACTCGCCCTAATTGGGCAATTGGAGATGGTGGAAAACAAAGCCGCGGCTCTCAGGCCGTATAATTCTGCCGTGGGACTCTGGCGGACCCCGAGGCAGAAAGAAGCGACGTCGGGGCTTCAGTTTGACGTCACATTGAATAGCTAATTTTCTGTGGATTTAATGGGGCAGTACCTGGCCTTATTTGAGGTGAGGTTCGCCGTGTGAAAAAGTGAAGCTCATCATCGTTGAAACCGTCTTACGAACACGATTTTCGATTAGAATCTGGATTGTATTGAAATAGCAGGAATAAATTAAATAACTGGTTTGAAATTAAATATATGATAATGCTCCAGTGCCTCTATGTTAGGGCTGTAGTGTAGCTATGCTATTTCAATGTAAAGCTTCAATTCCTTTTGAATAGCGCTGACATGATGACACATGACGATCGCCAATAAAGGAGCCTTTATTGCCACCATGATATAACTGTCGGCTCATTCGTGCATGAATGCCGTTCATACTCATGGCGTACCTTTTCCGCCTTCTTCTGGGTTTATTATTTTAATTAAAGCAAACTGATAGAATACCAACCACACATGATTAATTGCAGGGGAATTTTGTTAGCCTCTGACCCCATAATTTACGATGCAGCATTAAGCATACCGCGCGGGGTTGTTTTCATAGGCATACATCATAGACATCAAAGGCGGTAGTGGCTGCAGGTAAAATATGAAATATATTTAGTTATTTATGGAATCAAGTAAGATGTCCGTGAGCTGTTATGACGCTGGTAAGCAGCAGGGCAACGACCCTTTGACAGAAACTGCCAGTTTTGTTTTGTCAGTACCTAATAGATTATTACATCCGGCATGAAGCTTCACCAAAAAGACTGACAACGGCTCAGAAAACTCAGAAGTCTTCGTGTTCCTCTCAATTATCAAACTGAACATTTTGGAGTTAAGCAGGATCATTTAGTTCATCACTAGTTCATCACTCGTATATGGAATAGGAGATGATGCGTTTGGTAGTAAATTGAGACTTTTGTGCAAGCTAAGCTGTCTTGCTTTCGGTCCGGTTCAAGCGGTTCAAGCGAAATGTCCCCTCCCCCTTCCAACGACTGCACTGCACTTATTAAACAAACCGTATCGAATTCTCAAGCCTTTCGCTCTCAAAATGAGAGTAAAAACAAGAGCGCGTTTCATCCGTGTTCTGCAGAAGTGTCTTATCGCAGAAGCAGTAGTGTCGCTCTGGCCGTAAGCTCTGCGTCTCAGATCACCCCGCCGCTCCGGCCCGCAGCCGCGGTCGGTGCCTCTCGTCCCAGCTCGCAGAGAGCACGTGCCCGCTCTCTCTGCCTCTGTAATTACCCAAACATAATGACAGGAAACCACAGCGCCCGGCGGAGCGGCATTAACCGTGCCCAGCGCTCGGCCACCAGACTTGTATGATCAGATTTACCCTCAGGGTTTCGTGTTAGGGTGTATGGAAGCAAGGCGGTAAAGCAAGACACTGCTAAATCGGTAGCGTAGCCTGAGGCGTATGGTCAGCTGTCTGCCTCCCCTCCCCCTCTAACCGTCGCGTCCGCACGAGCTTGATCGGGGGGGGGGGGATAACAGCTGACAAGCGAGTCACGTGGTGGTCAGACGCTTGCAATCTGGTCAACAAATGGAAGGGGAGGGGGCTGATGAACTAAACGGTTGCAGTCTACCATGCCTGTGTGGGGTGGTGGCTACTAGAGATGTCAATTGGATACCAACTTCTTGGTATACGTACCGATACCAAACCGATACCAACTTGGTATTTGGTATTTCAAGCAGTGGCGTACCCAGGAATTTGCGAAGGACCAGGGCATTGGACGAGAGGGCGCCAATCAAGGAGGGCGCCAACAACAAGGAGGGCGCCACATATCTGAAACTTGAATGTGTCAGTTATGTTCGTACACGTGCGGAACGAACATAACTGACATCATCATCTAGGAGCGCGACACTGTCGACTGGAGGGGCGCCAATAGGTACTGGACAGAGGGGCGCCGCCATAATCTAGGAGCGCGCTGCTATCGACTGGAGGAGCGCTAACTCTGGACAGAGGGGCGCCGCCATCATCTACATAAGAGCGCGACACTGTCGACTGGAGGGGCGCCAACACTGGACAGAGGGGCGCCACCCACCATCATCTAGGAGCGCGACGCTATCGATTGGAGGGGCGCCAATACTGGACAAAGGGGCGCCACCGGCCCACCATATCGTCTAGGAGGGCGCCACTATCACCAGAGGAGCGCCAATACTGGACAGAGGGGCTTCGCCATCAACTAGAAGCGCGCCGCTATCGACTGGAGGAGCGCCAACACTGGACAGAGGGGCGCCAGTCACTGAGGGCGCCGGGGACGATGAGCCAAAGGGACAGGGCATGCACGGAATGTCCTGTATGTGCGTACGCCACTGTTTCAAGGCGAGTGCATTTGGTATTTTGTTGGTATTATGATTCCTCACTAATGTTAAGGAGGCTGAGAATTTAGTAAAAAGTTGGTATTTTCCTCATATTCCCAAGTCGGTTTGGTTTTGGTATTTTTCCATGGAAATTGTTGGTATTTGGTTTGGTATCGGTATCACGATTTTCCGTAATTGACATCACTAGTGGCTACGTCCAGTTGGTGTGGCTTCGGGCAATGATTTGAACGGGCTTCCTGGAAGCTGGCAGCATGCCTTGATTTTTTATTGATAGGATTATATGTCGGGACTGAGGCCGCTACTCAGCATACATAGCTCAGCACGATTTGGTGACTATTGAACTTCATTGGGGATATGCAAATTTTGCACAGTTTGGCCTTATGTGCTGCTTCTTCGATTCCTTTTCCTTATGCTAACAAAATAATTTAAAGAGCATTATATTTCCAACCTGAGTTATAGCTCCGACGGAATTGGAAAGAAAGCGACGCCATAATTTTTACGCAGTTTGTCATGCATCAACAATAAACAATGTGACTTGACTAGCACAGACTGGTATCAACACACTTTCTGAAGTAATTATACGAGATCCACGACCCCAATATGTAGATGGTAAAACCTTTGACCGTAATTTCCGATAAGCGTTTCACCGTTGTCAAATGTCATGTTTACGTTGAGCTCAGTAAACTATGTCGACGAAGAATAAACCAACAACGAACAAATTATTTCAATGAGGTATCGTGCAATAACTTCTGAATGCATAAGCTTGTCACGGTGGTTGCAACTTGCAAGCATAGCCCAAGTGGGAATACGATCAATGTGGGAAACTGCGAGTTATGCGACCACATAGCTGAGGCCAGAAGCCACACCACACCAACAACGCGGTGGCATTGAACAGCAGCACGAGTTACTGTGCTGCATTTTACAATTTACAAAGCTGCTTGTTCCGTTTCCTGGCTCAGGCAACTTAGATTGCCTTGACACGCGCTGACTGCATTTGCACGTGACGCACAACGAACAGATGACCTCTTGACTCGACTCTCTGGCCACATTTTATGGTGACTCTCTTGCGATGACCTCTTACTTAGCACTTCTGTCATCTCTCATGTTGACCTTCAAACGTTTAGCTCACTTCTCTTGGCGACCTTTTGCTGCTCTCGTGAACAAATCTACAATCTTCCTCTCTCGCCTAGACCAACCGCCCGAGCTGGCCCGGCGTACGAGTTGACCCCCAAGTGGCATAGTTTCATTCCAAGAAGACTCGCATACGAGTGCACTGCTCGCACCGCGAAAGCTGAGCGAGTAATTGCGGGCCAGCGGGAGGCTCCTGCTGCCACTGCCGCTACTGCCGCTGCGGCGGCGGCGGCGGCGGCGGCGGCGGCGGCGGCGGCTGGGAGGGCGGGGGAGGGGCGGGCGGGGGTTGCTGAGGAGGGGGTATGATGGTCCAAAGGTCGTGGAGCAGGCCCAAGGTTGCGGTGACGCATGCACGCACTTTGCAAACGACACCCCACAAGGTGTCTCGCACGGTGTCTAACGCAGTGAACGCAGTGAACAGTTTAGCAATTGCGCAATTGCGTTGGGGAATTAGGTCGGTGCTGTACATACATAGTTGTCACTGGCAAACCATGGGAACCTGCATGGCTTGAGATGTGGGTTTGAGGCGTGAGTAAGCTTGTTAGTTATCAGACAGCATTGTTATGAAAGTCGGGAGTGGGTTTGGACGAAAGGTGGGGCGGGGAGGGTTGTGGCGTGGGGAGGGACGAGGGAGAGATGATAAATTGTACTGCGGCTGATGGGCAGCGGCACAGTGGACCAATTAGACTAATTACATCCGTGTTCTATGCTCTGCTGGGATGGCTTATGAAGATGTTGTTGCCAGAGATGATGATGATGAACACGAAGATGGAGTTTCGAGCTGGGAAAGGAATTCCTCTTCATTATGGACAAAAAACGACAACAAACTACCATAACCATTTTCTTTTATCCTAATCTGATCATTTCCACGGCCAACACACACACTAGGATATAATTTGTAGGACGGCAAAGATGTCGAAAAATCGTGGGTTATAAAACATCTTTTTGGGTCGCCGCCGTGTCTTATCAGACAGCACTGGTAGGCTCACTTCACGCTTGGTAATTTTTATCGTGTTTTGACACACCCTTGACTTTTTTCGATTCCGACCGGGAGGTAGCTAATGAAAGCCACAGTGTAACGTGACAAAACTCGTTCCTCGGTCTTACTATTTCCAGCATTCAACCGACCGTCAACTTCGTTGTTTAGGTATCGAAATATCTTCGTCACCGATCTGACATTCTTTCTCTCCTTTGTTCCAGTGTCGTCGGTGCTGCAACGCACCGTGAGCCTCCGACGGAAGATGCGGGGCAAGACGCGGGACGAGGGAATGAAGACGGGCTGGCTGTACCGCGGTCAGCGCGGGCCGCTCTACGATACAGTGCCCCGACCCAGCTCCGCCGACCAGACACAGGTGCTGCCACGCCGCGGCCGCAGACGCAACTACGGCGTCACCAAACTGCCGCCAGAGGACAGGGCAGTCGAGGACTGTGTGTCGCGGTTCGCGGAGCGATATGGACCGGTGTCGGTGAATGGAACGATGCCACATCCACCTGTGGATTCGATATGGGTTGGACCTCCACGAAAGAGCTGGCATGGGGATGATTCATACTCGCCACATGAGGACTCGCTCGACCGAGGCGACACCTATGATAATGCCTTCTATGACGGCGATGGTAGCGTCATCTACAATCCAAGCTACACGGAAACCTTGCCAAAGCCTGGTGCTGCCATCTACGCTGACTCCGGGGCTACCACACAAGTTTACGTCAATGGGGTCCACGTGCTATGCATGAACAATGAGCCCTACAACGAGCGAAATATCGACGAAGAGATCGCTGCACGATCGAGAGACGCTTCTGACGAGCCCCCGTACGCTCAGCCTCGGAAACTAGCAGAACGAGACCTCTGTAACAACTGGATCGGCCGGGAATCGAGCCCTCGGCGGCGCAGTCATAGCCCGGAGCCAGAGCCGGTGCTGGGACCAGAGCCGGAGCCGGGCTACTGTGTCATGGTACCGGTGCGCACCCCCTGCCCCGCCTACCGTCCCCCTCCAGAGGTCACTGTATCCTCCCACCGACCTGTGACGTCATCCAACTGCTCCCCCGCCTCCTCGGACCTGCCACCGCTGACGTCACAGTCTCCACCGATGACGTCACGCTCTCAACTAGCCTCATCACCACCCGACCCACCAAACGCCCCAGCGGATTCCTACGCCTGCCTGCGACGAAGTTACACAAACTTCTACACGGAGGACGAGCTACGAGGGTTGGTGGACAGTTCCGATCGAGACACCATCCCTCGCGGAGGTGACAGTAGGCGGGGCAGCGATGGCAGTGGTGGCAGCAATGACAGCGGCGGAGGACAGCGGAGGAAGCCGGGGGTGGCCTCCGGTCGCTGGGCGGCCCGACTCCGTGAGGGCAGCTACGCCAGGAGGAAGGCCCGGACTCGCAGCGTCGATAGAGCTGTTGGCACGGACAGGTGAGGGATATGAAAGGGAAGAAGTAAAAATATGACGGGAATTTAAATAAGCAACACATTCGTAACTTCTCATTGATTTATTGAATGAAGGTTGTTATTCTGGCACATTTTATTCAACATCCACGTCAACCCAATAACATTTCTAAATAGCTGTCTGCGTAAACTGTAGGTCGTTTGAGATCACTCCTACCAAAGCAGGACATAATTGAGCTTTAAATGCACTAATGTGTGAAACATGGATTACATGATAGGTAGGATGTGAGCTGAGAGCCCAACTATTTCGGACGCATCTTTGAGCGTCACTGAAGTTTATGGACCTCCTGTTTACTCCTCAGGAGTTCGGAGGAGTGTCCGGAGGAGGCCGGTCTGAGGAGGAGGAGGCGGTCCGGGTCAGCCGAGCCGTGTCAGTGCTCCGCCTGCTCCGAGGAACACTCATCACTGTCAGGTCAGTCCTCCGAGGAGGAACGTACGGATCTCTGGCTCTGTCTCTCTCTCCCTCTCTCTCTCTCTCTCTCTCTCTCTCTCTCTCTCTCTCTCTCTCTCTCTCTCCCCTCCCTCCCTCCCTCCCTCCCTCTCTCTCTCCCTCCCTCCCTCCCTCCCTCCCTCCCTCTCTCTCTCTCTCTCTCTCTCTCTCTCTCTCTCTCTCTCTCTCTCTCTCTCTCTCTCTCTCTCTCTCTCTTTCTCTCTCTCTCTAAAGAAGAGCACTAGCCTCTTCTAAGTAACTCTAGAATCTGAATGCCGACTAGTAGTTAGTAAGTCACCAGTTTCAGTTGCTGAACAACCCTAGCGCTCCTTCTAGGCTAGAGCCTCTAGCCGATCTTTACCTTAGCTTCGGATGGCTCCCACTAGGTGGCAGTAAATACCATCCATTCTCGAGCCACGGATGCGTCAGTACGGTCATTAGGGTCACGTATGTGCGTCATAGAGAGGTCAGCAGAGGCCCTGTGATGTGAATCATTAGCTCAGATGATGACCAGTTCGCTCCAATCGCGAGCGGAGAAACTAGAGCGACTGACCGACTGTTTTGATGGACAACGGACAGTCGATAGCGCAACGAGGTATTTACAGTGGTTGAGTGGTTGAGGCTTAAGCCCGAACTTCTGGATTTGTTTGTGCATCCCACAGAGCTACAGATTTGTATCTTTTCTGCGCTTTATTTGATTCACTCTTCGCTTTTGCAGGGTTAGGTCCTTTATTCGGACTAATAAGAAATAAGAACTAATAAGGCCGCCTACATGGACGAGAAGATAGGGACAGGGACATTGGGTTCGAAAACGCTTGATGCACTCCAGCTTCGACTTGCCCCTGTCTCTCCCGCTGTTTTGGGTAGACTTTTGAACAGCTCAATGGCCAGTCGTCCGGCGGAGAGTATGCTGCTTTGAACCGCCCTCCATCGTATTGACGGATGCAGACAACTCCACAGTACACCGTGGCTATTCCGTGTCCCGTGGCTCCCATGGTTGTCTGTGAGGTCAGTCGCCACCTCGGGCAGGAGGTGTGATCAAGGATTAGACGGGCTGGTTCTGCTGATGATTTGACTGATGGATACTGGATTTGGATACTGGATGGATGGATGGATTTGACTGCTGATTTCGTTTCACTCCTAATTTGTCTTCAGGGTCAGCTCAGCTGCATGTTTACATGCTTGCTTCCGGTCGAACGGCTTCTGAGTACCGACATGAACCGATTGCATTTATGCTGCGCCTGCCGATATCGATGCTGACGTTTTCGAGACTGTGACGGCGACTCTAAACTTTCGGTCACTCGTTCTTTTTATCGTCGCAGCCAACCAATTCCCGCCAGACGTCCCGTAATCGATCTCCGATAAGAAATCTGATCAACGTTTCGGAAGCCATTCGACGAGCTTTTTGCCCAACAATCATCTCAGCTCCTTCCACCATTCTCACCCACCTCCCAACTCTACCTACCATTCTCTCCTCCCTCTTCCCTCCCATTCTCTCTCCGTCCACTCATTTGTCCTTCGCCCTCCTCCTCGCTCTCTCCTCATTTCCTCCTCGCTCTACCCTCTGTCCACCGGGCCTGGTCGGGAGCACCAAGGGTGTAATTTGTTCACATTCCAGCCGGAGAGCGACCTTACGGTCGGTGAGACGGGCCCGTCGGCCAACGCACCTCGGTCCATTTGCATACTGAGGGTGGCCGTCGAGCACGGGCGGTGGCAGCCGAGAAAAATACGGGGAGATGCTCCGAGCGCAGGCTGTAGTCCTCGGGAGATGTATAAGAAACACAAGGGCGGGATTTCAAGTCTGTTCGTATCGATTTAGCGGATGTTTTGTTTTGGAAGGTTCAATGGATTTTAATCGGAACATGATCGTTATTTCTCAATATTCGTATTCACTATCGAATTACTTGGTTCAGTTGGTCATCACAATTAAAATTGTAATGCGTATAGAAAATTATTGGCTTGACTTGTTCAATGATCAAGCGTAATTAGCTAGTGTGAAGAATGCAAGCAATGCGACTGCAGTTATACAAATATTATGCGGTCCCATGGCATGTCAGGGAGCTATCAGGTCAGGCTTTCCCATCAGGTATCTTCTTCTAACTGTTCGGACTTTCAGCGAAGCATCCCCGGGGCAAATGTCTAAGGAAGCATCTAAATTGACCAGAAAATGGAGCCTGTCTCGTTCGACAGCATTCCTTCCGTCTCAGTACTTAGGAACCGGCGTCTGTTGGCTGACGGCACATTCCCCTGTCTCAGAGCCGCGCTTAGTTGAGGATCCAGACGAGCGTGTTCAGTGATGAGACGTGGTCTGTAGGTTGGAGGAATGTTTGTGACCCGTGCCTTGATTATGTGCTCCACTTAACGACGGGACAGGGGCGCAGACAGGAGGGATTTTCGAGGAGAAAGAAGAAGATTGAGAGATATATGTACGGTAACCATTGTAGCATTTCTACATATAAAGTTAGAAGGTCGAGTTTATCCTCACTTCAATAGATGCAGGATGGATAGGTCTGTAGTTCGATGGCATAAACAAGCCCAGATGTCAGGACATTTCAGTACATTTTCAAACGTCGCCTTCCTTAAGACACGAACGGCTCACCGATGCCTAGCCATCAACACACCCGCACTGATGAACTTCGCTAGTCATGTGACCCGTAGCCACGTCACTTCCTCCCTCCTATCTCCCTCGGCTCCCCTCTCCCCGGTCATCGGGAGACCACCCACACCGCCTGTCCCACGACAATCATCCCATTGAGCGTGAGACCCCTGTCACCGCGGCGCTTCCTCACCGGCCGGAGTCCTCAATTGAGGACACGCCTGAGGGCTGGACTGAGTCGGAGGGGTGTTGGGGATTCGCGAGCTGACGATCGATAGTTTTGGAGAGTTTTGGTATGAGCAACCTCAATAAAGGATTTGTTAGGTATCACAAAGGTCAGGGGTGGCTTATACCGGTATACGGGAAGTGTGAAATTTGTAGTGTCGATACAAAGTAAAAGCAGTTTCAGATGACTACTAAGGGTTTTGAGATGAGCACAGAAGGCTTCAAATGCATAGCGTTTTCATGAGTTCAACTCACCGTTTATGATTTCGATCCCCTCTCAAGGTATTTGAATAACGGCAACTTTAGATAATATCAGGGTGGTAACATCAACCAAACCGATGACTACGGATGATTTCGGACAGCCCTCCCCCCCCCCCCCCAGGGCCTCGCTTTTTTTCTCACTTCGGCCCAACCCCAACCAGCCTATAACGCCTTCTCCATTCTCCAGTCTCTATCCCGCCCGCTTCCTGTTTCCCGGGGCCACCACAAGCTCACATTCCGCTGGAGTGAAAACAAGCCCGTTTCGACATCTGGTGGACAGCAGCTGCCTCCTCCGCGGCGGCCGTTAACAATCAGTGCACGAGTTACATCTGTTCAAGGTCAGGGTCAGTTCGCGCGCGCTCCGACGCCGTTTGCGCGCGCCCCGACGCGAGCGGCGTGGTTGCCGGCCGGTCGCCGCCTTGTCCACGTCAGGGACACGGGGTAGGGTGAGGGTCTAATTGGCCCCAATTGGAGAGACAGTTCTCCCACCACAGCCAGGTGTAGAATGAAGGTCGCTGGCCCCGTCCCGAGATGGCGATACCATCTGAAAATAGAGGGTTTCTCCGGTGGAGGGCCTGATTTGGTCAGGAGGGCACGGTGGTTGTGCGACTTTTTACGTGTTTGGTGGAGAGCTAAGCCTGCTTTAGCAACACGATAGAAGAGAGCGGGATAAACCTATTTGCGGTGAGGAGGTTCGTGCGGAGAAATTAACGAAATGATGACGTCACGTAGCAGAGTTCGTGACCTGATCACGAATCACGAAACAATTCGTTTTCTCACTGTTGAATTTTGAGTTGGGTGTAGAACAGGTGAAGCAGCCTCGAAGTCATGCCAATAGGTCACAAATCCGGGTTCACCCCTACAGCGGACTGCACCCCTGTCCCTCCCTTCCTCCATCCCTGCATCCGCCTCTGCCATTCCAGCGACGCATCGCCCCGAGCGGCGCCGGTGCTGCCGCCTGGTGTCAGCTCCGGGAAGCTCGGCTGGCAGCCGCGGCGCGGAGCCAGTGGTGCTAGCGCCCGGTCGCCGGCAGTGCGTTGGAGTCTCCGAGTGTTTTGTGCGCGGGTGAGCGCGCTCCCCAGCGTTGGGGGATATGTGAGCGTTTTGCGCGAGCGCCGACAGCGCCGCGCCAGTGTTTGGAAGTGTGAGAAGATATGGCCACACTGGGCCTGTCCAAGGTGTTCATTCTGGATAAATATTTCACCGAACTGCAGAAGTTTTGGGACACGGAGCGCAAATTGCAAGGTGAGTCAGTGGAATTTTATGGTGATGCTAAGCGCTGACGCTTACAAAAATAAAAAAGTAGCATTCATTAGGATTGCATGATCATAAATCATGAGTCTGAGTGCTCCCCTGAACCAGTTCGTCCGTATCACCGCTCAACTTTTGTCACCACTTATTTTGCATCCTTCGCCTATTAGCTTATGTGAATCTCATGCCTTCCTCTATTCCTGGCCCATTCACTTCCCACTGCACTGGCGGCACCCTTTTCCAGTCAGTTTCACTCGTATATCCGTCCCTTCTGCCTCCAATGCCGCCTTGTCACTCCTTGCACCACGTGTTGACAGCCAGCCCCCCCCCCCCCCTACCGCACGAATCATCATCCACCCTCGTGGATCGGGAAGCGACTGTGTCACTTCATCAGATCTCCTGTCAGATCAGTACGTGGGAGGAAGTGTTGATTGGAATTCACCGCCCTGTCGGTCGGCCGATCGAGAGAAGTCCGAGATTGAAGACGAGAGATCACCGTCCAGTGCCTATCAATGGAGAGATGATTTTGATGAAAGGCCCCAATCTGAAGTCAATTAGAGGGCAATGCTTTCTCGGATGCATCTTGACATAAGCTAGCTTCCCGTTCAAGTGTGTAATTTGATTGAGCTTGGCGCTGGATTTTGCGTTG